AATGGCAAATATCCCGTATCCCAATATACCCTATACAAGCCTCCCTAGTGTGGACAGTGTATAACTTGCAAATTTTTTTCATACACTTTCCAAATTCCTTTCTTTATATTTTATGCATGAAATATTAAGTAAGGGGATGAAATTACATGTTAAAAAAATGTGGGTGCTGAATCTTTATGTAAAGTAGACTAAGTGATTTGGTCCAGTTAAAAAAGGTCAAAAACTAGTATGTCTGAAGCTGTCAAACTGAATTTTAGACCCCCTTAACATAGAATTGTCAATATTTTGAGTTAGAGCAGGTAGACATTTCTATAATTTTTATATTATTTGTCCCAATAGTAGTACACTACACTGTAAAAATCTTTTTGAGATAGAGCAGGTGCGATTTTTTTAATTTGACTTTATTGTCTAAAAGAAATGCACTACGAAATAACTGTGTTCTCGGGCCTGATGCTGCATTTTTCTCAACATACTGGGAAAAGGGGCAGAACTCAATTTAAATAAATAAAATCTTACAAGTATCAGATACAACTTGAGGGCGCTAGACCGAATGCACGGTGTATATTACAAACGCTATAATATCGTCGTTCTAGACTCCTTTTCGAATCAATGAACGCTTCCTTTCAGCGTTTTATTTACAACAATGCTTGGGTGGATGTCCTAGAAGTGGATAATACCAAATATAAGAGGTATGTTGGACTTTTTTTTTAAGTATTTCACAGAACAATACAATCATTAGTTTAAGTAAGATTTGCATCATACAGAAGTAATATAATTATATACATAATTTAAACTGTCTCACGGAAAGTGACGTGGTTGATTGTTGACGTAAATGCCACTCTTATATATCAAAATATGAATAAAATAATTAAATGGCATTTTGACAAACTTGTACACACCCCTAATCGCATCGCATGGAATGGGTTTCTCTTATTTACACCAAGACATTATTGGCAATGCACAATGATAGTTTTCAATAGTTTGGGAAGGTTGTCTTTTAGCAAATTCATCATATTTTATTGAAAAGCCTGATAAATGCAGAGTATCCGATTTCATTAAACGACATCTGAAATACTTTGCAGAACTAGTTTTGTGCCACAATGATATCCAGTATTCCTTTTGATATATATTAAATTTTTGAATCTTTAAAACACATTCATGATCTGTAATAACATATACGCCTTACACTGTTGTATGTTGTTATAAGATTATTATCTGCTTAGATAACCGACTAATTAAAATAAAATAATATAATAAAAAATAAGATATACAGAAAAATGCCCTTTCGTAAAAGTTCTCCGAAAGAAACTTCAGATCGGTGGGGGGGAAACAAATCGCCTCAGACAGCAAACTTGGTCCAATAGATTTTTTTTTTAAATGGGAACCCCATCTCCAACAAACCTCGAAATGTCTGAAGAAGCTGTTTTTACAGCAAAAATAAAATCAAAAACATATACAAGTGTAAAACTGCTGGTTGATTGTTAGTCCAAGAGGGTATCATCAGTTCAATAGTTTGTCATCGGCATGATTTATAACAAAATTTTCTTAAATTTTTTGTCGATGTTATAAGGAAAACTAAGGTGCAAACTCCCAGACTTTTGACCTATGCATTTGGTGACTTTCGGTCTGTTTGCCCTTTTCACAGAAAAATTCTACTAGAGTTCATCATATCTTTTGAGAACTCTACTAAGTTGACATCTTTCTATAATCAGAACAGATAAAGAAACATGAGAATACCTACTACTAAGGAAAAATTAATATTCAATGTTACATTTTTATAAGATTATGCTTGTTGTTTTGTGTCATTTATTTATTTTAATACCTATGTGTATCAGAAATAAATTCATAAAACTCTATTGTAATTTTACCACTCATACTGGCAAGGATCATCATATACCAGTTGAATTAAAACTTAAACACGACATTTACAGCAAAAGTGACCATGTTATTTGGTCAATTATATCATCCAAAGGATGAGTAGAGTCATGTCTTCATCAAATCATACAGGGTAGGTTTCAGAAATTAAAAAAAAAAACTTAACAGCCCAATATAAGCCGCCAGAAAGGATTTTTTTATTAAAGCAACCATGTTATTTCTGAAATATCTGAATCATATTCAACACTGACCAGAGCACTATAATGCTAATTGAAAAGTCGTACATGTATTGTGATTTCCATGCCGACATCACATTTAACTTAATTAGATAAATTCTGAGGATAAAAATCTTGGAATTAGCCACAATATCCCTATTTAAAAATACCATAAAGGCTGCCGACAAACATTTATTGAGCAATATAAAATAATAAGTGAATACTTCAGTCCATAAGGCATCTTAACATTCAAAATGGATTAAAGGCCAAAATTAGCATCCTAATTTCTCCTTCTCATCACAATCCAGATAATCTTGCAAGTTCAAAAACAGCTACACAAGTACCAGCTTCTAGCCATTATTTTTACCAAGTGTCAAAGGAGGAAAGCATCAGCACAATGAAATTAGTTTCAAAAACAAATTACCTTTGTTATGATTACCTTTATGATATTCCCAATATAATAATGTGGAGGGTGTGTTTTTGACTTGTTCGCTAGACATAACTTCACAGTAACCTTGGTCATAAATGTTAAATCCTCTTTCAATTTAAATTGTCAACTCATGGGTCTCATCAAGTTCTTTGACAAGTTCTATTCAATTGTTAAAAGAGAAAACAGATTGCAGGTGTTGTTGTGCTAGGCATATCTCCACTCGTATTTTAAAGTACAAGAAAAACAGGAAGCAGCGGTCTTGACAAATTTTAAGAGCACAAATATGTTACAACTTATCACTGGTGAGCTGCTGATAAAATACAAGTCATTCTGTTCAGTAGTATTGGACAAATATGTGACTAAATTTTTATATTCATTCAACATATGGAAAAAATCAAAGTATTGGCAAACAGGAAGTACAAAAAAATGTAGGTAGTTGACATAAAAAAATGCGCTTTGCCTGAAGCAGCTGGATACGACCGCAGAGGTCAAACTCGGAACAGTTGGGGCAAGTATGGACACAATATTCAAGCTTGATACAGCTCTGAATTTGGATTGTGATTAAATATTTGACACAGCATAGGTTTCTGACACAGAATGAATGTGGTCTAAGGACTTAAAAATTTTAAATTGGACATTCACCTATTATGGTCCAATATCCAAAATCTAAATACATGGTTAGATTCAGCATATCAAAGAACCCCAAGAATTCAATTTTTGATGTAATCAAACAAAGTTTAATTCTGGACCCTTTTGACCTCAATGTGGACAAAGTTGATAATGGGGCCCAAAAATCAAAAATCTAAATACATGGTTAGATTCAGCATATCAAAGAACCCCATATATTCAATTTTTGTTGAAATCAAACAAAGTTTAATTTTGGACCTTGATTTGGACCAACTTGAAAACTGGGCCCATAATCAAAAATCTAAATACATGTTTAGATTCAGCATATCAAAGAACCCTAAGAATTCAATTTTTGTTAAAAACAAACTAAGTTTAATTTTGGACCCTTTGGACCTTAATGTAGACCAATTTGAAAACGGAACCAAAAATTAAGAATCTAAATACACGGTTAGATTCAGCATATCAAAGAACCCCAATAATTCAATTTTTGATGAAATCAAACAAAGTTTAATTTTGGACCCTTTGGACCTCAATGTGGACCAATTTAAAAACGGGGCCCAAAATCCAAAAACTTAATACACGGTTAGAATCAGCATATTAAAGAACCCCAAGAATTCAAGAATAAAACCCCATTGAAATTGGTCAAGAAATAAGCAATTTATACGAAGTATCTTCTTTTGCACAATACTGTGCAATTGAATATTTCTTGCTATTGCGCAATACTGTACAATTGACAATTTCTTGCTATTGCGCAATATTGTGCTATTGGATATTTCTTACTATTGCACAATACTGTGCAATTGAAGATTTCTTGCTATTGCGCAATACTGTGCAATTGAAGATTTCTTGCTATTGTGCAATACTGTGCAATTGAAAATTTCTTGCTATTGCACAATACTTATTATATAATAATTTACACATCCTGTTTGGTGTGTATCTCCTACCATATCATTATTATTTGCTTTTAAATATAAAACAGAAATAACCAACTTAAAATGAAAAATTTTAAAAGAAAAAAAAAAGGAAAAAAAAAAAAATCCCCCCCCCAAATTTTTTGAACCCCCTTATGATTCATCACCCCCAAACTCAATCCCAGCCTTCCCTGTGTGATATGGAACCTTGTGGTACAATTTCAGAGAGATCCATACACTTGAACACAAGTTATTGTCTGGAAACTAGAAAAATGCTTATTTTTGGCCCCTTATTCCTAAATGTTTTGGGTAATTACCCCCAAACTCAATTCCAGTTTTCCCTTTGTGACATGGAACCTTGTAGTACAATTTCAGAAAGATCCATACACTTACACACAAGTTATTGTCATGAAACTAGAAAAATGCTTGTTTTTTGCCCCTAATTCCTAATATTTTGAGGCAATTACCCCCAAAATCAATCCCAGCATTCCCTGTGTGATATGGAACCTTGTGGTACAATGTCAGAGAGATCCATACACTAACACACAAGTTATGTCTGGAAGTTACAAAAATGCTTATTTTTGGCCCCTAATTCCTTAACTGTTGGTACCATAACCCCCAAAATCAATCCCAAACTTCCTTTTGTGGTATTGAACCTTATGGTAAAATTTCATAGAGATCCATTCACTTAAACTAAAGTTAGAGTGCGAAAACCAATGTGTCTTCGGACGACGCCAACGTCATACCAATATACGACCGCAAAAATTTTTTGCGGTCGTATAAAAACCAAAACCCAGTTAGAAGAATCATTTTACGATGGTGGGGGAGAGGGGGTTTCTCTTTCCCATTGTCAAATTTTATCTCTTTTTTTCTTTTCAAAACTTTCATAGCATTTCATATGCTGTTTGAAAAGTTTTATTAGACACAGTAAATGAACCAATATAATTCTCAGACCACTTTATTATAAGTCCTTATGCAATAAATTCATAGGGTATTGGTTCTAAGATCTGTGGCTTGTTATATTTTGTCCTCACAAATCTGGCTCCTTTTGGTTCTTTGGGCTGAAAAAGAAACAAAACATGTGTTATTTAATAAAGAAAAAGTTAAAATGTTGTTTTAAAATAAAATAAAATATGATGCAATTTCAGATACAAATGTGTCAATGCAAGCCATATGAAAGTTAAGACAACTGTCAAGGAGCTATTATATCAAAACAAATCTAATCATGCCACCATAGAAAAGCCTTTCATGTATATACATAGTACTAGTAGGGTGGTAGTGTTTCCAAAATTGTAATATTTTCCAGACATGTCCGTCCCTCTCACCACCAATATAAATCTTAGAAATTCCCAAAACTGACAATGGTGAATACTCCTTGACAATAGGAATTAGAAATTTGCAGTAGCTATCCAAATTTCCACATCATCTCTAGTGACCCAACCTAACTAATATATTGTTAACTTGTCCTTATAATTCAGGAAATATTTGCCATAGATAGATTAATTAAGAAACAACAACCAATCAAAACAGCACGGAATATTCACAATATTTGAATCGCCTTAAAATACAGTTAAGACCTACAGTATGTCTACATGTTAATGTGATTCTATTATGAGCCTGGCTTTGTAAAATCATGGCAGTACGTTCAAAATCTAACTCAGTGTGTCACCCTACCTGTACACATTATTTTGAAACCAAGCCAACCGTTTTACCCATTACTCCAAAATGTTAATATAAAAGCAACAAATACCAATTTCAAGATTTTGGTTTGACCTGGCTGGAAATCAAACCCATGACCTCCTGTGCTCACAGGGAGTACAATATTATAAGACCACTGTAACTGTACCGTCATAAAGTGTCATCAGAAGTTAAATGTGGTGCCTCTAGCCTGTTGTAAAAGTTAAATGTGGTGCCTCTAACCCTTGACCTACCTGTCGTTTGAGGTTGAATTTGACACCCTGGGCCTTGGCTTCCTTCTTCTTTTCACCATTTTCTTGGACTCTCTTTAAGAAATCCAATCTGCAGTTTGAGTGCTTAATGTGCTCAATCCTTACATTGATTCTCTTGGGTAAAATCTTATGTCTGAAATTAGTTTGAATCTTATATTACTATGTCAATAATTTTTAGCTCAACAATGTACTTAGGGGTATCTAGTAGCATGTGCAACATAAATAATTCAATAATAACTGTGAGCACTGAATATCAAACTGACCTTTATTTGCAGAATATTTCGGCCTAAAAAACTACAGCAAGATGAAATTTTGACTTAGCTATTTGCATTTTGGATCTGCTTGAGGTGTTTTCGAATGTTTGATGTGTCACTAAGATAACCTTAAAAGACTGTGTTACATATGAAATAAGAGTAAATTCATATATATCTGGTCCTACACAAAGTGCCAGTACCAAGGCAATAATATGGCAGTCATTTTCCATCTGTACTATCAGATAATTTGTCTATCACCACCATTGACCAGTGTCAGATTTGGGACATTTTCCATACTACCTCTTAACTTATTGGTTATTTACTTTCATTCATATTCTTTCAAATATGAATATAACCAGTACAGTATATATCAATGAGACAGTAACCCACCACACTAAACCAAAATGTTGGGATTGGTTAACAATTGATATCCAACAGTTGATAGCAGCCATCATCTCATCAACAGTAGCTTAAGATTTCATGTTACAATTGTATATATTAGATTATGATTTTCCCCAACTTAATTGGCTCTTGAAAAAACTACAGGTCCCTAAAGACAGCAGACATACAATGTAAATATTGAGTACTGGCTGTGATAGCTACAATGACCAGTGGACACACATCCATGGCATTTTTAAATGTATAAGTCGACTTACCTTACTCTTTTGTTAACAACAACACCGACAGCATGAGGTGTCACATTAAAGATACGACCAGTTTTGCCATGGTATATTTTGTGGGGCATACCCTTTTGTACTGCACCATGACCCTGAAAATAATGTATACATACGCTATAAATGTTTCAAGTTGGTCAACAAATTTTTTAAAATCAAGTCCTTATTCAAGTTTGATTAAGCATAACCTGAAAAAAAAAAAAAAAACTAAAAACAAACTTTGTTAAAATTTCCATAAAAAATAATGATATATGATATACATTTTTGTACGTGTATAATGATTAAACCTTGATAATCCAAGGGTTCCACTCATCGGAATTTAAAATGTTTTATTTTCCTACGATTTGTCATTTTCTTGGAATGTCGAAACATTTGGGCTAATTTATGTCCACTATTTTTCAAGTCGACCTTGAATATAAAAATAAGGAGATATGGTATGATTGCCAATGAGACAACTATCCACCAAAATATACTCAAATTAACTGAGATTTTGAACACCCAAGTTTGACTCATCAGAGGTCGAAATGCATTAAACAAACAGGAACTTTACCAGGAATTATAAGAATTGTTTTACACAATCCAGTTCGACAAAGAAGGTTGGACTGAAATAAAATTCAACTGTCTAAGCTGTTTTTTTAGGGTCTTACTGGACCTTTATTAAATCTTCTTTCAACATTACATCAGTGATTGTTGCTTCTTTTGCTTTTTTATCGATATTCTTTTTCTTTATATGAACAAACCTTAATATCGACAATGTCTCCTCTTTTGTATATTTTCATGTATGTAGACAATGGAATAACACCATGCTTCTTGAATGGTCTTGAGAACATATAACGTGTTCCACGTCTATAACCCTTTGTGTTGGTCATGATGAAGTCTACAAATACCAGATGATAAATTATTATGTATATTCATTTTTTTGTAGTTTCTAGGGATCACTAATTGATCCTAAAAATACTTTGTTCAGGATCAGAGAGAACCATGTGACTGCTGCCTTCATTGTAAAAGTTAATGTCGACTGCAAAAATCCAAGTTAATAATCAGTAAAATAAAGATATCAAAGCATCTTCTGTGCTGTGATCCAGCCAATTTTTAAGCTAGCTAGACATCTTTTTCCTACTAATCTGTAATATTTTTATTCATTTCATTAACTGCTGTAAATCATTTAAACACCACCATCATAATTTAGGATAAGGGATAATGGCTCAATATGTAAAATATAGTTCAGCAACAATTTAAATAAAAAGGAAGAAAAAAAAAGAATAAAAGGTAGAACATTGTTTGCGTTAAAATTTCTCTAAAGAATTTAAACTTTCTGAGTTTTTTTTTAAATTAAATCACCCCTTCTAGCTCTAAATTTACTTATAAAATGGTTGCTTTACAGAGTTCTCGAAAAGTGGTGGTCCTAAGGTTTTGACCACCAAAATTTGGCAAAGGACCGAAACAATTTTATTATTTTACAATAGAATTAATAGTGAGGACCAGCATATTTATTCTAGGACTGCCAGGGAAAAAATGATTTCAAGAACTCTGGCTTTATGGGGTATTTCTATGTTCAAACATAGATTTTGTAGGAATTCTAGACAGTTCGGTACCCAGACAAATCGGCATCCGGACAAATCGGCACCCGAGAAAGACACTTCGGCACCCAGACAAATCGGCATCTAGACAAATCGGAATCTAACATAGACAAATCGGCACCTTATAAAGATAAAATCAATTATTTTATCCTTGATCAAAATATAGTGAACCAAACATTAAAGTTACCTGGCACTGATATATGTATGTGGGTATGAACTCAATTTACAAGTTTAGTGTTAATATAACGATTATGTTTGACTGTTTTTACAAATTACCAATTTAATTCCTGCACTATTTATGACATTATTGTCAATATTGTATATGGTATCTTTGAAGAAGTATCTTATTCTTTTTGGTTATTTTTATTTGTGAAGACTGTATTGCAGCTTAGTCATTTATTTGGATAGCTGTCATTTTTGTCACTTAAAGTTTCCCTTCATCTATTATACTTTCTTAAAAATAACTTGAAAATTTAATTTAAAAAAAAATGCCTTTCAAGCCAATAACTCCTATAAGGGATAAATTTACAATTTCGGTCAGTTAACTTAGTTAACTTAGTTGTAGATCTCAACTTGCTGTTCAAAATTTCTCTTTATCAGCATTTAAGATAATAATAAAAAAAAAAAAAAAAAAAAAAAAAAAAAAAAAAAAAAAACAGAGATATTTCGTAAAATTCATAATTCCAGATGCAATAACTGCAAATAGGGTTGTCCAATTGGTTTGAAAAATTACGTGGCAGATAAATCTTAACATGCTTATCATTTTTATCCTTATAAAAATAAGGAGATGAGGTATGATTGCCAATGAGGCAACTATCCACCAAAGTTCAAATAAAGTGGATGTAAGCAATTATAGGCAAGCCTTCAACAATGTAAATGTATTAGCAGCCATGCTCAGTTAATTGTAGATATTAAATCAGATACCTCGTGTAGGGAGAATGTAGCAATTCACTCTTTCATGGTGCCATCAGTTGTATTATGGAAGGCAACATTTTTTTTAAATTTCCGCAACTTTTATTTAAAACGGCCTCTATTACATAACGGAGATTGCAGTAGTTTCTAACTGAAGTCATAAAAAAAATCGGTCTTCACACGCTCTTATTTTTTTAGATTACAATCCCAACTAGTGTTAATCCCGAATAACTGCAACAATTTAGGCCCAATCCTAAATTCCCGGTATGATAATAGAACCTATATACAGTATTTATTGTTAACATGATTTCGTTCAAATAATGCATGAAATATTTGGCACTGGATGTTATTTCTCTTGTTCGTGTGTCTTTAGTGATGCTCGAAACCTAAAATTTATTAGAAACCCGGAAAACCAGTTTTTGATTTGAAGAGCTTTTAAAATATCAGAACTGTTGAAAAAAAGGGAAGTCAATTCTGCTGAAAGCCTGCCTTCGGATTAATATAAAAGGCATCATCGGAGTTTATTAGCAACTCATAATTTACAGAGTAAACGATTAATTATACTGCACTAGAATTATATGTATGTTCGCTCTTAATGAGCATGAAATACTTGCAACTGGACAATAAGCAAATTCAGTCAAAAGTTAATTCATATGTTACATATTAAATTTGCAATTATGATAATCATTAACAACCGGCATTGAACAAACTAATGCTTATAAATTACTACCTCATCAACTGTTTCCCCATCATAGAATTGCCGTAAACGTTATTGATTTTATTTAGGACATACATGTGTTGGCGCTAAAAGACGTGAGACGTTATGGCGTTTAACAGTGGACACGTTTTGGCGAATAACAATTATCGGACACGTTTGGGGGTTTTGAAATCGGACACGTTTGGGCCATATTGAATATTACGGACACGTTTGGGGAGAATAGACACGTTTGGGGGAATCGGACACGTTTGGGGGGATGGACACGTTTGGGAGTGTTACATGTTTCTGGGTTTTTACTCATTATGGCTTGCACGCGCTTTTATGTTTATGGGTTTTAATATTAAAACAATAAAATATAGTTTTCAGGTATTGTGTTGTCTTTACAGATGTAAGAATCAAACGAGAACACAAGCTGAAACACAAGCTATACACTTTTGATTTCTCATTTGTCTCTATTGAGAAATTATCAGATTTATACATACAATACTGATTAATGCATAACTACAATTAATTATGATTTTATTTTAATTAAATGATGTTTATTCAAACACCGTCATATCTAACAATCAATTATGATTTAATTAAATGATGTTTTACTATTCATACACAATCATTTAGGATTTAATTAAATGATGATTTCAAATTTTGTTATTGTATATTTTATCAACGGATTATAATATTACGGTAACAATTCTTTTATTTTTCCTAATATATATATTTAAAAAAAATGAGGTGCCGAATTGTCTTGGTCCCGAAATGTCCGGATCCCGAACTGTCCAAAATGGATGCCGAAATGTCTTCGGACTTGGGTGCCGATTTGTCTGGGTGCCGAAATGTCTTGTTACCATTTTGTAGGTATACTACTTTTCTTGCTCCTTATAAGATTTTTGTTGAGATAGGGGATAAAAATTATAGGTCAGGACACTGGTAGTGTAGATGAATGTTTGTAGGGTTCCACAGGGTTTTTTCAACTATAAAGTTTTTATTCTATTGCTGGAAGATTGAGAATTGCAGATTTTTAACAACAAAGTATTAAGCAACTACTTTTCTTTAATTTGTGTTTATTCTTTATAGAAAAATATAAATTTCCTTTATTTTAATATACACACACAATTACATTTTGTACCTTATTCTGTTCAAAAGCAATATAATTGGGATTAATGATATAAATTCTATAGTAGAAAAGCTAACCTAAAGTATTGATTAATATCAATACATCAAATATTAATATTACATTTGTTTATACTGTAGAACCTTTTTTAAAAGACATGTTTACTGCCCTTGGGCAAGGACTTGTGAGAGTTGTGGTTAATTCTGATAACAGCATGTTGTTCCCTTACACTGTTATGTACATGTCAAGATTAGATTCCTTGCCAAATTATACTCCTCTTGAGATTTTATTGTGTTTTAAACATATATTTAATTCATGTATTATAACAGTATATTATACCGATTTAATGCACACAACAGGTCAATGCCATAACTTTAAAACTTCTCTATGAACATAGTATTTAATCGATTTCAAAATGGAATTATTGCAAATGAAATTTTAAAATTAGTAGCTGAAATTTTATCAATGCACAATTTACTTGAATTTGAACAGATTCTTATGCAAAGGGGTGAGGACAATCATGCTAAACCTGTCAAATACAGGATTTCTATGCGATAAACATTAAGCATTTATATAAATGTGTAAAATATTTATTGACGTAATATATATTGACAAAACTAAACGGTTAAAAAGTGGTAAAAATGGGAAAAAAATTCCAACAAACACGTGCAACAACCTTTCTGATTTCTGACCGGAAGAAAAAGGAAGTGACATGCGCAAATCGACTTAATTTCTGTCTTCATTATTTCGTCCCAATATACCATTTCGGCCTTTATCATTTCCGTGATACAGATAGTTTTTTTAAAAGAAAATTCATTCATTTTAATGCTCAAACTTACAAATTCACGAAGCAGTTAACATATAGAGGTTTTTATTTACAACGTTAATAACATTAACGGAACCAATTTTTCTGCTCCAGATGCGCATTTCGACAATAAATCATCTCTTCAGTAATGCTCGAGGCCAAATTATTTGTAACAGAAAAGTTAAATAACACAAAATCGGCATTTTCATGCCAGTACCGAAGCACTGGCTACTTGGCTGGTGATACCCTCGGGGACTAACAGTTAAAAAGTGATTATTAGAAATTGTATTGAAGCTATCAATATCAAATTTGATATGAATGTTGATCTGCTGCGATATATAGATGAGCTCTTCGTGTTATTTTTATTTAAGTTAAAGCGCTTTTCACTTAAACTTATATGATTAATCTTGCATTCTGATTTTCAATTTTAGGTATGTGCTTTAAACAAGATCTGCCTAATATTTAGATGTGCTTAAATTCTAGATGTGCTTTAAATTTAGTAATGTTTTGCATAAAATTCAACTATGCCTGTGCTGTATTCATTTTAATATATGTTGCTTATGTTTATAATGTAAAATATGAACCGAATAAAACAAACTTCCATATTGTTATTCGTATAAACACTGCAAATCAACGTGTGTCCATTCCCCAAAGTGTCTGTGTTGACCAGTTAGTTTTCAGTTGATAAATATTTTATTGTTGATAAACAAAAGGATTGGAAAAAACTTATTCCGACTTATATAATTCCTCTCCCTACATTATTTTAACATCAACTCCATACTGGACAACAACAATTTATTACATTATAAGACATATATAGTAAAACAAAACGCATTTAGTCAACATACGACAGTATAATTGTCACGGCAAAAAAGCGTTATGGGAACTGACAAGCTGACAGCTGATCTGTGCCATATAACTGTTAGGTTTGTTTCATATATATCATAACTTAAATACAATGATATTTGTGTTGTCTTGACCAGTATAGAGTCATCAACACCAAATAATAAAACTTCAAGGTGGACATAATTTTTGACAATATCCGAAATTACAATTCTTCTTTGGTTTTTGGTACAAGGGACACTCGAGAAAAAAGTGGACGGCGTCCTCGTAATTAAAGGTCATCAAATCTACATTTTCGGTCTTTTGTTATATAAATTCCTGTTAGATCTGCGTATACATAATGAACTACACTGGTACCTAAATTAAGCCGTGTTTGCAGAATAGTAAGAATGCTATTAACTTCAACGTAGCACTTTGTTGCTTTACAACAAGAGCATTTAATTATTTCGTTGATAACGCAAAAGGTTAGAAAATCCCTAATAGATTTATCCATATTATTCCAGACATGCCATCATGAGTTGGACAGATGATGGTATGAATAAATCAGCTGATGTTTTGAGCCTGCTAGTGGTCACATAGTTATAGTTATTTTGGAGGTTATAGCCAATTAATTACATCTGATAAACAATTGGTTAAATATTCTGGACATATTCCACTACTAGTATCATTTTATAAAATATTCTCATTTCCGTGATATCCGTCTATTGATTAAGATATCTCAACCAGTTTTTAAATATAACACTTCCCTACTTGCACATTTTTGTAGGTCAGTCACTATACGAACAGCCTCTTTAGTTGTATTTTTTTTTTATTTGAATTATCAGAGTCTCTTTCAGAACACCCATCCCAAACTTCGCAAACATATTCTAATACTAATATAATAAAAGTTATATATACAGAAGATAATATAGGAATAAGAAGATGTGGTATGATTGCCAATAAGACAACTCTCCAATATAGACCAAATGACATAGAAGTTAACAACTATAGGCCAGTCACCGTACGGCCTTCAACAAGGAGCAAAACCCATACCGCAAAGCAATCTATAACAATCCCCGGAATAATAAATTTAATACTATTCAACCGAGAAAAACTAACGGCCTGATTTATGTGCAAAACAATAGACGAAAAACAAATATGATATAAAGCAACAAACGACAACCACCATAAAATTGAGAACGGAAACGGGGAATGTGTCAAAGAGACAACAACCCGAACAAAGAGCAGAAAACAGCCCAAGGCCAACAATGGGTCTTCAACACAGTGAGAAAATCCCGCACCCGTAGGCGGGCTTCAGCTGACCCCTAAACAAAAATGTGTACTAGTTCAGTGAAAATGGACGTCAAAATAAACTCCGAAACATATAAATGAACTAAAATTAAAAACAAAACAAATAGGAGACTATAACAAAGGCCAGAGTCTCCTGACTTGGGACAGGCGCAAAAATGCTGCGGGGTTAAACATATTTTGTGAGATCTCAACCCTCCCCCTATACCTCAATAGCCAATGTATAATAAACAAACACACAGCAATACTCACAGTAAAACTCAGTTTAAAAGAAGTCCGAGTTCGATGTCAGAATAGGTAACAGAAGAAACTAAGCAAAATGACATAGATAAATAAATTATCAAAGGACTACTAGCAGTTACTGACATGCCAGCTCCAGACCTCAATTAAACTGATTGAAAGATTATGTCTCCACCATATGAAAATCAAGCACACTCCCTCCCGTTAGGGGTTTTGTATCATACCATCATAAAATATATGAGAACATAACCCGTATCATGCCAACAACTGGTTTTAGAATAAATGTGTTTATTTCCGATGCAAAGGCCCTATGAGTGAATCAATATTAATTCCAAAATATGCCATCTTTAATGACCTGACAACCGTATCGTAACTATATCCCTTTTGAATAAGTCTGTTTAAAGGTTTGGTTAGCTTTTGAGGTGAATGACGACATTTTTGTGCTTTGTATAGAATATTACCATAAAAGATTGGATGTGAAATACATGAACGTATTAATATAAGATGTCTGCATGTTGATTGATATTTACGAATGATGCCCTTGTATACCGATGATAAGATTTAGTAAATGTTTTGACTAGTTTGTGATATCGAAAACCCTCAGTAATACAGAGATTTCTTTCATTAAAATCAAATGCGTTGTTACATACACGAGCGAATCGAACAAGTTGAGAAATATAAACACCATAAGATGGTGATAAGGGAACGTCACCATCTAAAAATTAAGAAATAATTCATGGAAGCCATAGATTTGTTGGACATTTACATATGGCCTGGTCCGTGATATTCGAATTTTATCCTGAGTGTTAGCGAGGGATAAAATTAACGAATATCCCGGCCCAGGCCATGTGTAAATGTCCAACAAATCTATGGCTTCCATGAATTATTTCGATTCTAATAGGACAAATACGGTAATTTAAAAACTGAAGCGAACGTAAGATTGTCGTGTGTATGGCTGTTCTATGTTACCCCCTGTAAGATAAAAGCTACAAATTTCATATAAATCTAAGTCTTACATGAATTATTTCTCAAATAAGCAGTAGAAAAAATGTGTTCAATTCTCATAATTCTTAACCCAAACATTTATTTTTCGTTGGCTACTATTTACTGTCAAATCCAGAGTTGACATGACGTAACTAAGGAGTGAGCCGCCATGTTGACTTGCTGAAATCCACAAATGTGCGAATAATGCAATGGAATAGAAAAAGGAACAACGCCTACCTCAAGACTCCATTTTAATGCAATATTATCCGAACTTAGGGCGTATACGTAACGGAAAACATTCAGCTTTAGAGTTTTCATTCGTATGACGTCATGTTATGACATGACGTTAATTATAATGCGCCAAGATCATTCATGAAATTTGGCGGAATTTTATTTTGTTTTGAATTTATACATTTTTTAAGCTCTTGTGCATTAATTATTTTTGTTAAGCAATATAATAGGAATAACGGTTCTGTAGTTTCTTTTTCAATTTCAATTTGGACACAACGAAATCGACATAGTGTTTGCACATAGGTTACGATACATGTGGATTTACGTGGGAGGTAACATGTACAAGAATTCGTTCGGTCTTTAATGCGCATGCGCTAGTAATGTCCACAGACAGCGATTAATTTTACTATAGATTTGTATGGGCAAATAGTTTTTATACCCGTATTACTTTATATTAACTTTTGAATTTCTTCTTGGCGCCGTTAAATAAAGTTTATTAAAGGTTTAAACTGTGTAATGATGTAAATTTTATGAAAATAAGATATTTTAAACATCCGTCACTTTCGATTTAAAATTTGATACCATAAATAGCGAAGTAGCCCGTTTAATGTATACAGAGAAGGCATTGTTTTACGAACCCCTAGCTGACATCTGTTTGCTTCAATAACAAATAGTATTCGTTATTTTCTTATTTTGTCGTCGATATTTTTACAATCTCCAAAGACAGGGAAATAAAAATGATATTTTTGCCTAAAAATTAACTTTTGTAATTCTCCCGTCTTTTTATGGTTGAAAATAGAAAATTCTTTAATTTGTCATGGAATAGAGAATTTTACACGCTTGGATACGAAGTCATCGGCAAACACTTATACTTTTATGAATCAGTATGATTATATCCTTTAAGACTTTGATAAACAATATAATTGTGAATGTATACATGTTTACTCTACATGTGACATTAAACATGTTAAAGTAGCAATACTTGCAATACACAAGGTATATGGTTTTTTTTTTGTGTTTTCCACTTTTCAATCATGAGAGAGGATAAAGTATACAATGGAATCATTATGTTGAAAAGTGAACTTCCAACAATTAACAATCTTGATATATTTTTCATTATTATGACAAAAATAAATTTGCTAAAAGCTACAAACATTGACAAAGAAAAACTTTGACAAAATACACACGTATTATTATTAGGTTAGACTGGTGTTATTGTAGCGGATGCATGTGGAAATTAAAATCCTTCGGATTTATGACATAAAAGAAGAATCTTCATCGTTATTCCATATATCGTGACCATATAAAACATCAATT